AAAGTATTGTCGAAGGGTTCATGTGCACTTTAAAAAAGGGTAAGTTAATCAATTATATTACTTCCATAGCGGGGAGGACTTCAGGGAGTGGTTGCACAATTCTCCCTAGCCAGGGACTCGTGTAAAAAGCGCTCGAAGGTGCGCCCTTTGCCCCTTCCTCAGACTATCAGTGATGTTTATTACGGGTATTTAAAGCTATGTAAGGCTTACCCTGGGTAGTTGTCGTATACTATTGGTGCTCCAGTCGGGTTGCTTCTGATGCCAAAAGCTGCATCACTAATGAGTAAGTATGACTGAGTAAGTGACTTACTATGGAAAATTTAGTAAACAAAAAATATTGATTTGGAACATGATGTGATAGTGTTGGTTAGGTTAGGGGAGATTTAAATGTAAAGATAGGGTTGTGTTGAGAGCGAGTGCGCACAAAAAGGAAAAGGATACGGAGGGAAAGATTTAAATAAAGAAAGACATGAAAAGAGGTAAAGGACTCAGAGACAGAAGAAAAAAAAAAAAATGAACAGACAGAACCAAACAAACCCAGGAAGTTATCCTCTAAACCTTCATACATCTGAGTACAAACGTATCCAATCTATTCCCTACAGCACCTGTCATCACCCCTCCCCCCACACCCTAGGGAGTGAATAGAGATGACTCTGGATCTGCGCCGCATGCGCGTAGGCTTTTCACTATATGACCAGTCTAGGTGGCAAACCTTTCAACCTCCATATCAACGTAGCTGCACCTTCTGTTGTACTTCACCGTGGAATGGCGGCGTGCTACGGTATTTCTCTTCTTTAAGCTGGAAGGAAAAATGCGATAATGTAAATTAGTAAAAAAAATAATAAACAAAACAAAACAAAACAAGCAAAAAAGGGAAAAGAAAAAAAAATCTATCTATGATCCACATCGTAATTATGAATATAATCAGTTAAAATTAGCTATTTAGTTACTATTATTCTTATTAGTCATGCACATAATTCAGTCTCAAGACGACGGCAAGGTGTAGAAGTTAAAGAAAAACAATTTATCTATCTATCATTGTGGTAACTAAACCCTCATCTCCCGAGATACAAGTACATCTATCGTTAATACAAAGCCACAGAATTAATGCATTACTTAACAGCATTTCTTACCATTTGAAATACAGGAGCACCACTAGAGCTGTCAAGCACAGCATGGACAAGCCGACAACTGCAGGAATAACCCACACACGTTGTGCCGAGTCCTCTTTACGTGCACCACGGATAGCAGGAGTTGCGGGTGAACTGGATCGAGACATGTCAGTCAAAGGTCTAGTGCCCTGGCCTTCGCTGCCTTCTGTTGTCATCACAGCAGGTCGTTTTGAACTAGTTGACTGATTACTCTTGTCTGGCTTGGGTTCTGTTGTTGTCTGTGAGGGTATACTTGGAACATTTGTTGGTGAAATAGTTTCGGAAGTGGTGGTTGTCGTGGTGACCGTTGGCTGGCCTGTTGTTGTCATAGAAACTGTTGTAAAATGTAACCGGCGGCAAGGCGCTCAGCTATGAATCAGATTGCAAGTGGTTTTGACAAAAGAATTTATTGAAAAATTCACACAACTTTACAATAC